GGGGGGGGGGGGGCAGCACATGCAGCCCCAGCTAAGGCCATTTTGTTTTGTCTTTAAGACAGCAAGGAATCCCAGTTTTGTTCATTCTTTTTTTTTAAATTATTTTATTTATTTTTAGAGAGATAGGGAAAGAGAGACGGGAAAAACCCATCAATTTGTTGTTTTAGTTACTTATGATTCATTGGTTGATTCTTGTATGTGCCCTGACTGGGGATCAAACCCACAACCTTGAGGTATCGGGACGACGCTCTAACCAATTGAGCTACCTGGCCAGGGCCCAAGCCAGTTTTTACCTACAAATAAATGTAAGTTTTTTCCTGTATCCACGTAAATAAAATTGCTGCATCCCAGGAAAATGGAGTGATGGGGATGGTCTAACTTGACACAGAATGCATAACTAAAAAATTCACACAGGGGCCTCTCAGAGAGTCAGAGTGCCTAAACACAGGCCCACAGGCTTTCGCAGGAAGAGCCATGGATGCTGGAACCAGAATCTCAGGGCAGATGCTCTGAAGGCAGGTGTAGATGTGCAGGTCTTTGCCCAGGGAGGGGGGTAGCGGGGTATGTCTCTCTCAAAGGTTCACAGATCTTACCAACAGGCTGGGCTGCGGAAGGAGGTGGAGGCCTTGAATGCCAAGGTCACGCCAGAGGTGAAGGGGAACTAGTTGTCATTTACTTGGCTGCTAGGCCCATGCCCATGCTGTTGTACTTGCTGGGAGTGGCCTTGCCCCTTTGATCATGCCCTCTGCTTAAATTTCACCTGCTAGGCTGACATTTCTCACTGGTTGTGTGGACTGGGCTGGGTCGGGGGTGGGGTGGGGGCAACAACATTTTAAAGGGTTTTTACAGGGTATCTGGTAATGGTGTGTGCCCTGCTGGAGAAGGCAGGAGTGGGGGTGATGAGCAAATTGACCACAGTGCAGCTGTTTCATGGTGAAAATGGAAAGTGAATAAATAAGGGAAACAGAAAGGGATGTGTCAGAGATGGAGGTAGCAAGGTCTGAGCATTGCATGTAGAGTGAAGATAAAATCTGGAGGAAGAAAATTGGTTGTGGAGGCATCTGGGGCCCAGACCCACAGGAAAACAAGCACGAACATTAAATATGTTTTGTAAATAGGCTTTCTGAATTTTATTTATTTTTGGTAATCTTTTTAATCCTAACACATTTCACTCATTTGCTTCCACGACTGAAGAAACAAAATAAAATTGCAGTGTTTTGAATGTTATTTTAAAACCCTTCAGTTTAAAATTGCACATGAAGATGCAATATTAAACGTTTTTAATTTAAAGAGACAGTGTGTATAAAGCCCCCCCTTCCCTCTCTTATCCCCTTTTCAGGCCTTTTAAGCCCCCCTTTATGCAGGTTATATCCTTAAAAATCCAGCAGTCAGACTGGAAGGTGTGGGCAACATGTCAAGGAGGACAATGGAGGTAGGGGACGGGGAAGGAAGAGGCCAAGACTGTCCAAGTCACTCCTAGGTGTCCTCCAAAGCAGGCGGGTAGAAGGTTATATGTATACCCTGCTCGATTTAGTGTGACAGAGACCAGCAGGTTGGGCTACATAATTTGTGGGGCCAAGTGCAAAATTAAAATGTGGGGCCCCTTGTTCAAAATTAAGAATTTCAGGTAAACCCTAGCCGGTTTGGCTCAGTGGTTAGAGCATCGGCCCGTGAACTGAAGGGTCCCAGGTTCAGTTCCAGCCAAGGGGAGGTACCTTGGTTGCAGGCTCAATCCTTGGCCCTGGTTGGGGCCATGCAGGAAGCAACCAATCAATGTGTCTCTCTTACATCAATGTTTTTCTCTCTCTCTCTCCCACTC